TTGTTTCTAAGTTCTAAGTTTTTGTGCTAATAATACTCCGAGACTGAGACTACACGAGGATGGCATGGGAGATTCCCAAAGATTGTGTTTCCAAATGGTTTTTCACATTTTGTCTGCTCTTCCACCACCAAACTCAAGACTCAAGTCGCAACACCTTTCTCTTCTTTGTCAGTTACTCCCTCCGGTTCACAATAAGTGACCAGTTTACTTTTTTATTTCTGTTCAAAATAAATATTCAGCTAGGTAATCAAGACAAAATTCAATTTGTTTTTACTCTTTTACCCTTATGTGCATATCCCTAAAAAGTATTCTCATTCCTCACTATAACTATGTGGTCAATATTTAATAAGGGTAATTTAGTCATACTAGGTATTTTTGTATAGGATTTAGCATTTTCTTAATGAACGTGCTAAAAGGAAACTGGTCACGAACATATGGAGTATATTTATGCAACTCTCATGAATGTTATGACCTGTGGATGCTATTATTGCTGTCATTACGCTTTTGTTTGTAAAAAGAAAAACATTTCATTCTACCATATTGATTTCGAAATTTTCTGAACAAATTTACAATCGTTTACTGGCGCTTTTCCTGTACACACTTTATATGATTTTAGAGGTAGTACCGGTGTTTCTTATTTCTTCACTACGGTATTTGATAATCAATAGAAAATGTGAGGACCGGCATTACTTGAAATAGCAATTGCGACCTTTTACTTTCACCCAAAAAATAAAGCTTTTTCCCTCCTAAGTTCTAATGGTTATCCAATAGTTAGTACTCATAAGTTCTGTGGTGAGTGATAGACATAGACTGAATCAAATGACTAACGTTACGTTTGATAAACTTGGAAAAGCTCATCATGAAGAATAAGTTACAAGGCTCATAAAATATAAAAATGTAAAACAACTCGAGTATTTCATACTTTCCCCACCCAACACTATAAGGTGTAAAAATGTTGGAAAGAATTATATAAGGTGTAAAAATGTTGGAAACAATTTCTTTGAGATTGTTAGTATCACCAAAAGTCTCTTCTCCTATTCATTTAATAGAAATTTTCAGAAACCAGTGTGTTTTAGTGATTGTTAGTTTGCTATAGCTATCATTTACTAAATTATTTTCTATAGTTATATTTTAATTTGTTATAGAGTATATTTGATGCATTTAAACTAATGTATTCATGAATACAATAGGAAAACTCGGCGGAAAAAAGGGAATTACAGCTAACGTATAGATCGTATTCATATGTATTCGCGAGCTGTATTCGTGAATACAGTAACGAAATTTGCGAAAAAAGGTTTTCAGCTGTTTAAAAACAATAAGTGAATCAATTAACACGATATACTCCTAATATAACTCAACAAACTCAATTATAACACACAAAATTTGTATTTCCAGTTATAAAAAAGATTCTCAACCGAAAAACACCCAAAAACATAGCAATCTTCAGAGATTCAATCTATCCTTTCTTTTTTTAGTGGTATCTTTATTAAAATATTTTTTAGTGGTATCTTTACAAATAGATTTATATATTGAAATTATATAATTACATTGAATACAGTTAAATACATAAAAATACATTGCATACATGAAGTATAGCAGGTCATCTATAGTAAAAAAATATATGAATACATAATGCTGATACATTTGAATACATATATACATCTGAATAAATAAATTATATTAATTACAAAAATATATGAATACATTCTACAATACATTGAATACATATTGCTGAATATATATTGTTGGACAAAATAGTGAAACAAAGTGAAGCTTTGAAATTATATAATTATATTGAATACAGTTAAATACAATGAATATATTGAAAAGGTAGAAAAAACTAAAGACAGTGAATACAATGAAATACATGAAATATAGCGAGATACATTGAAATACAATGAAAAAAAAGGTAACAGACTCTTCAAGTTCCTCGGCCCCAAACTCCGTCCTCAATCCACCGATATCCAGGCCGCCATCATGTGAGGCGTCGCCGTCGGTACCGACGCCCTCTGAGTCGTCCAGCTAGTGAAAATTTTGAGAACTGCACTTGTATTTCTCCGGATCTTTATTTTTTTCCAGATCTTTATTTCTACTTACCACAACTCTTTAGAGCAAAATAAGTTGAAAATTGAGAGAGACGGTGGAGATGAATCAGTGGAGAATCATTGATAGAGAGAATGGGGAAGAGAATTTCGCTGTGACGGAGAGAAATTAGAGAGAGAGAGAGATCGTAGAGAGAGAAGTTTACTTCCTATACGGTAATTTTGTGAGAGAAAAAAAGAAAGAAGGAGAGAAAAAAATAATACACATCGTATTTAATGGCTTAAAGGTAGGAAGTGGCCATAAATAGATATTTTGCTATAAAAATTAAAATGTAGCTATATAAGATAATTTTTTAAAAGAGTATTTATTTATAATAAATAAGGTATCAACCTTTGCTATAGGAGGTAAAATTTCCTTCATTCAATCCCCCTCTTTGCCACCCCCCAAAAAATGGAAAAAGAGAAAATGATGTAAGGTTCAGAATAGGCCAGTAAACATTAATAGCACTGTAGTCTCCATTGATCCAGTGGCCCAATTACAAAAGGATGACAAAAAGAGATTTTTACCTATATGTATTACATTACAAACTTATTTTTTACCTATATGTATTGCATTAAAAACTTATTTACCCCTTACTGTTTAGGTCTTAACTTAATTACAAATTGATATATAATTTACCAATTATATATAAATTAGTATTAATAAGTATATATCCCTTGTATATTAGGAATTGAATAGGGAATCACTATCCCTTTATACTCTCTCTTTCTCCATCTTTGTCCTTCCATGTTTTCTATTTTTTATTCTTTCATGTTGTATAGAGTTTTACTGGAATTCATCATTGGATCTTAATCGTTCCAATATAGAGTTTTAATTTTCCTTCATGTTGCACAATTGGTGTTCCAATTGAAATTGTCAATCAATAAATTTTGAAGATGTTTGACTCTCCACCATTGACATCCATTAAAAAGTTTCGAAATGTTGAATTCAAATTCAGGTTTTCAAAATATAAAATTTTCTTTTTGGATTGGATGTTGCAAATAATTGAAATTATTCTTTAAAATTTTTATCACAAATTTGAGGGTGTTTGGTGAATATTAGAGTTGATGACGGAAGAAGAAGAAGAGGAGGAGGAGGAGGAGGAAGAAGAGGAAGAATAGGAGGAGAAGAAGAAGAAGAAGAAGAAGAAGAAGAAGAAGAAGAAGAAGAAAGACATGGCATAAATACAAAATTATATTAAAGTTATGTTATAGTTGTATGTAAATTTTATTTAAATTGTATTATATTGTAATTATATTTTTATTTTATTTTGAGTACGGTATGAAATGTTGAAAGTTGTATAATGTATGAATCTTTGTATGAAATCTGTATTTAAGTTATAAATACTATCTTTTTACATAAAGTTATTGATATGTATCAAAATTGTATTAAGAAAGAAAGTATTGATTGGAATTTCAGAGAAGAAGAAGAATACACCACGTACAAAAATATATACAAAATACATACAAAAGATATTATACAAATTTTGTATGAAAATTGTATTTAAGTTGTATGATATTGTAATCGTATTTAATTGGGTAAAAATAATGTATAAAAATTATAAATAAGTTATCAATAAGTTGTATGCTATATAATTAGTTGTACAAAATTTATATGTTATTGTAGATGTATCATTTATATCAAATTTGAATATTCTGACATTCAACTTACCTTATTTAGGTGCTGTCTATCGTTAATGTCTTTATTGCTTTGATTTGGCATTACATTCTGGTTCAAACTATTAAAATAGTTTTATAAGATTTGGTTCTCACGAGTGAGAGCACCAAGCAGTTCCATGACTCCAAGGTGTTCAACAAAACATTTTCCATTAGTGTTCAAGAAAGTCAAACCACCTAGTACGAAAATGAAGACAACATACAAGGCTAGCAGACCCAACTTATTCATGTAACATGTTAGGTCATAAGTTAATTGAGAAGGAACTTTGAATTTATGCAAATTTAATTGCACTAGTTGGCAAGTTTGAAATCAAACGAAAACTTTTATGTTTTCCTTTTATTATATTTATCTTCTAGGTATTAGACAATCTTTCCTTTTGAGTCTTAAAAAATTTGTTTGCTTCAACAGTTTCAGTTAAAGTTCTATATGTTTTCTCTAAAAAAAAAAGTCTTAAAACTATTTTGCTATACTACAGTTAAGGCATTATAGTAAAGAGGAGATGAGAGAACAGAGAAAATGGACGTAACTGAATCCCTTAATTTAAAACACTAATAATGATTTATATATGGAGAAAGGCGGCAAAGAATAGGGAAAGAGGAGAAGAGAGAAAAAAAGAAAAGGGTGTAACTGAATCCCCTAATTTAAGACACTAATAATAGATTATATATAAATTGTAATCAATCCTTGTTTAGGACGGGTAATATATAAAATTAGGACAACAACAACAACAACATCCCAGTATAATCCCACCAGTGGGGTCTGGGGAGGGTAGTATGTACGCAGACCTTATATTAGGACAATTTTGATAAATAATTTTCAAATATTGTATAGGAACAAAAAATCTCTAACAGAATGCCAAAAATTACTTTTAGCCTGCAACCGAAACTATTTACGTCTCATAGCCGCAAAATATATAAATTTTGCATATATATATATATTTAAAGCGGCTATAAAATTTCATTTCTCAATCATAAAATGTCCAAGAGGATCACGTGAGAGGCACGTGGATGACGAAACGCTAAACTCCTCATCCGTTCATCAACACACAATCGTATGTCTTACTTCTAACATCCAACTCAAAAACCAACACTCGCTCAGCCACAGACCTCACTATCTCTCTGTAAATATCCGCTCCCTCTCTCTCTCCTCCCATTATCCACGCGCGCGCACTCTCTCTTCCAATGGCTGGTTTGCTGGAAACCATTAAAGTCCCACGCGCCTCGGCTCTGCCGTCGTCATCGCTGGCTCCGGTAGCCGGTTTTTCCTTCTCAAGCCCTCGTTCCTCCGTTAGATTCTCTCAATTCAGAGGCCTTAAGATCCAGCTAACTCGCTCATCCGTCTCCAATACCTCATGCTCAAAATTCATTCCCCGAGGAGGTCCAATCGTCTGCGAAGCGCAGAATACTGCCCTTGAAGGTAATTTTAAAAAAATAAAAATAAATATCTTGTACTCTTCTCTATTTTACGTATATTTTTTACTCCTCTTCATGTTATAGTGTAGCTGTTGAGATTTTTCGGGCTCCTTTAAGCTTGATTTTGCTGAATGAACTGTTTCACAACATTCAATTCCATAGTAATTAAGTTGGTAGACGGTTACCAGTTTAGCTTATTTGATATGAGCTCTCATGTTTTACGAGTAACATGAATTATATTTCATATTCTAAGACAGATTTTACTTGGCGGTGGAAATGGACACCTGAATAACCACTTTCAATTTGTAAGGGGCAGGGTTGCACAAGGAGCGTTACTTAATTGATTTGAAGTAGTGAATATGGCTATTAAGCAGACTTCTCTTTCTGTTTCTTTGGATTTAGAGTTTCGTTATCGTTGGAAATTCAATGGCATCACATTGCTAATAAACAAACGGCCAAGTTGTTAGGTACACTCATTTGTGTTTGACTTTTGTGCCTTTCATCAGTCATCAGTCTGTTTTAATAGTTTCCCAGTGAAAGCAAAGACATAGCCGCAGAGTTCTAAGGTTAGAAGTACTTTGGACAAGTTCTAAGGTACACTAATTTGTGTTTTCTGAATAAAACAGGAATTTGTGCGGGAAAACCATCAGTAAAGTGTCAACTAGTACTTGTGTTAGATGTCCTTTAAAAATCCTAGAAACTAGAATAACACTTTTACAACCACCAGACACCTGCCGCAGGTGGGGTTGTTCTTGTTTTTTCCCTTTTGTTGATATTCCAGACACCATCCAAACGATCCTTGAGCAACCCTGCCCTGCCACGGTTCCTGCGATAAGCTCCTTCCCTCAATCTTCCATAGCTCTTCTTTCAGCATCTTACTACTCCTTCCCTCAATCTTCCGTAGCTCTTCTTTCAGCTTCTTACTTTTCTTTTTCGTTCTTTCCCTATCTGATGGAAATACTATTTTGCTAGTGGTCTTTAACAACACTATAAAAGGGAACTAGTAGAGGTGTCAAGATGAGCCAATTGAATGTTAAAAGGCATCACTGGAGTCTCTGTGGTGTATTTCCGTAAAAATTGCTACTTCCACTTACCTGCTAAAATTCAATGAATATTGTTTGCTATTATTAGGGATGGCAAACGGGGAGGTGCGGGTGTGGGGCGGTGTGGGTTTAAGGCTATGCGGGGCAGTGTGGGTTTAAAGCTATGCGAGAGCGGGCGGGGCAGGTTGAAATACCTTTTCATAAAAATTAATGCAGGACGGGGCAGGTTGCGGGTTATGTGGGTTAATGCGGGTTTAAGTAAGATTTCTTCTAATTCTTCCTAATCAATTTTTTTTTTCTTGACTAAAGTTCATGGCGGCATTTGTGTGATGGTTTTTTCGGGTGAATCTCAATAGAGGAATGGGATTTAAGATCTCGAAAAAATATATTATTGTAAATACTATTTTACAATGAATACTAAATTAATACATTAGGGGTCATTTGCGTTTTTCACAATGAGCAACAAATATTTTTTGTTTAAATTGAAGAATTCAGGACATAAGCAACAAAAGAACTTTCAATTTTTGGTTNGCGGGTTAAAATTTTCGCGAGTTTATGCGGGTTTGCCCCGTAACCGCATCGAACCGCTTGCCATCCCTAGCTATTACGAGCATATTGATTGCTCATGATGAGGCATTCTTTGCTATATTGTAGAAGTACCACCAACTTGAACAATGTTGTGGACACCTATGAGTTACTCGTAAAGCTTCTTTATATCTTTGAGAATAAACATTGTTTGGTACATCAGTGCTTCCTTTCACCTTGTTGAACTTCATTCTTCACCCTTAAGCTCTTTCTGTGCAAGATGTAGATGTTGCACCGATTACACGAATCGTACATAGTTAGGAATATGGGATTCTATGTTTTCCGATTTGATCTTTGGCCTTATTGACATAATATAAGTAGCGTAAACAAATATGATACATCAGCTTCTTTGTCTAGTAAATTACAAATTTGTTTCTCTGGTTTCTGTTTCTGTGTAATTAGCCTGGCGCAATATGCGTCTTGTCTAGAGAGCATTGCTTTTGCACCATCCCCATCATCAGGATCTTTTGTTGGTTTAACATGGTTCTTCAAAATTGCAGTGGGTGCTGTTAATGATAAAACATGGAAGTCACTTGTTGTAGAGTCTGATATACCTGTACTGGTTGAATTTTGGGCTCCGTGGTGTGGTCCATGCCGAATGATCCACCCGGTCATTGATGAACTGGCAAAGGAATATGCTGGCAAGCTTAAATTCTTCAAGCTAAACACGGACGAAAGCCCTTCCACAGCAACCGAATTGGGGATTCGAAGCATCCCAACTGTGATGATTTTCAAGAATGGAGAGAAGAAAGATGCAGTCATTGGTGCAGTTCCTAAATCTACACTAACCACCTGCATAGAGAAATTCTTGTAAAATGGTATCTTATGAGAATCTTCCTGTTTCTATTTTCCCTCCTTGCCTTTGATGTGGCAAAATTAATCTAGTAAACCTGAAATGCTCCTGTATAGTTCGGTGGCATTATGTTTCCCCATTAACATTATGTTGGTAGTTGAATGTTTCTGTTGAGTTAGTTTGTAATATTTGGGGGGTCTCAAAACTGAACAGTCATATCTATTTGTGAAAGAGAGTGGCTTTTCAGAAAAGTCATCTCTAAAATTCTATAAATATAAGTAATCTCCTGAAGTAGGGGAAGTTAATTTGCAGTATACAAAGACTTCGTTTAATCCTGAAAGGAATTGCTTGTAAACCCCCGAAGACAATAGGGGCATATCTCTTAAGGACAGTGTGTTTGACACAACAAAGTTTTTCTTCTTCAATTTTGTTTCCTATTCTTCTAACAGTTTCTCATGCATAGAAATTGACTGATTGTGTCTGTAAAGGCTTTAAAATGGCATCATCCAAGCTTTATTTTAACGGAAGGCAGGCATTTGTTTTTGCACAACACATGCTAGGCATTTAACTTTGCATGTTTGTCACCTTGTTTAGTGTACGCAGTGGCGAAGCCAGAAATTTCATCTAGGGTGTTTAAACTTGAAAGAAGTTAAAAAAAAAATTCGATAAAAGGTATTCAATATATATTATATACCTCTAAAATCTAATATTTACCTATATATACAGTGTAATTTTTCGACAAAGGGTGGTCAGTTGACCACCCTTAAGGCTATGTAGCTTCGCCGCTGAGTGCACGTAGCATCAAAATGATCACAGCCAAAGCGCACACGCTATGTTTATTAGTAATCTTTGGCTTTATGAGATCAGTACCCGCTATTGAGGTTTTCTGGGCTGTTCTATACTTTGCTGACTGCTGAGGGCAATTTTTTTTTTACTGCAGTTCATGGCAGCAGATGTGTTCCTTGATGTATTAATTTCGTTTCTTTATGTTCTTGTTATTTTATCACCATTTATACGTAGGATCATGAGAGAGTCGTGGTGTTGTGTATAAACTAGGATTTAAGCTGGATTTGTGCCGGTGTGACTTAGGGTGCTATTTCAAGATGCTAGTTTGATTGTTTATTGCTTTTGTTTCCATGGGTTTATGTGATCAGTTTTTAGCTTAATTTTGAAGTTCATATTTTTAAAGGAGAAAAGCAGATCAGAGTAAATCTGAATCTATTCCGTTTACTGAAGATAAGATTAGGTTACCATCATTGACTATTGATCTCTAGGTAGTCCTTGTCATTTTAGTTTTATAAACACTCAAAAATTTCTTGAAAATAGCTATCCAAATTTTTTTGAAAGAGTGCGAGCGTGGCAGGTTTGGAGTGGTTAACTGGATTGTTTAATGTCATTTTTAACACGACAAAAATACCTAAAAAAAACTGAGGTGGAGTACAATGATTCCATTGCGCAAGAACAAAGATGATATTTAGAATTGTAACAACTATAAGAGTATCAAGTTGCTAAATCATATTATAAAAGTTTGGAAGAGAGTGCTGGAGATGAGGGTGAGTAGGGATGTGGCTATTTTTGAGAACCAATTCGGATTCATGCCAAGACGATCGACTGCAGAAGCCATTCATCTTGCGAGGAGATTAGTGGAGCATAAACAACAACAACAATAACAAACTCAGTGCAATCCCACATGTGGGGTCTGTGGAGGGTAGTGTGTACGCAGACCTTACCCCTACCTTATGAAGGAAGAGAGGTTGTTTCCAATAAACCCTCGGCTCAAGAACAGTGACAAGGACACAACAAACCAATATTAACAATGGCAAGAAAATAAGATAAAAGAAACAAATAGCACATCATGTAATAGAGAGAACTAGGAATACGAAGCTATAAGAGAAGTGCGAAAACTACCGGCAATAATGTCACATCGTCTAATCAGCAAGGAACTCGGAAGAATACAAGACTAGTACTAGTACTACTACTACTACAAATAGAAGAGACTCTCGACTACCTGTCAACCCACAACCCTAATCCTCGACCTCCACACCTCCCTATTGAGGGTCATGTCCTCGGTAAGCTGAAGTAGAGCCATGCCCTGTCTAATCACCTCCCCCAGTACTTTCTAGGTCTCCCTCTACCTCTCATTTGACCCGCTATGATCAACCTCTCGCATCTCCTCACTGGGGCATCGATGTCTCTCCTCTTCACATGCCCGAACCATCTCAGCTTTGATTCCCACAACTTATCTTCCACGGGGGCCACATCCACCTTGTCCCTAATAACTTCATTCCTAATCTGGTCCTTCCTGGTATGCCCACACATCCATCTCAACATCCTCATTTCTGCTACTTTCCTCTTCTAGATATGAGATTTCTTGACTGGCTAACACTCGTCTCCACACAACATAGTCCGCCTGACTACCACTTTGTAGAACTTGTCCGTAAGAGTTGGTGGCACATTCCTTTCACACAAAACACCGGATGCAAGCCTCTATTTTATTCACCCCGCTCCAACATGATGAGTAACATTCTCGTCAATCTCCCCGTTAGGGGTGGGCATCGGTCAGTTTCGGTCATGAATGTTATCAGTTTGGCATATTGGTTATCGGTATATAAATATGCTAAACCGATAAACGAACCGATAAGATATCAGTTATCGGTTAATCGATTATCGATCTCAGTTCAGTTGTCGGTTTACCCGATAAGATAACTCAATCTAGATTCTAGAGGAAAGAAATAATGAAGAATAATGTGTACAATATCAAGAATATGATAAAATTTCTCGACTGTTGTAACCCTATCATAGAATATGATAAACCTTGCAACAATGTTTCTCTATATGTTGAATGACAAATTTGAGAGGGTTACAACAGTGATAGAGAATTGGAAAAACTGGAAAATTTATATACCAAGGGTAAAATTGTATTTTTATAAAGGTTATTGGGTTATCGGTTAAACCGTTAATAAAAGTAAAAAAGCTGAAAACCAAACCGATAATCCTATAGTAAAATAACAATAAACCGTTACCGAACTGTTAACCCAATAAACTGATACCGATAACCCAATAAGTTTTTTTCGGTTCGGGCTATCGGTTTTACCCGATATATGCCCAACCTTAATCCCTGATCCCCTGAATAACAGACCCAAGATATTTGAAACTATCTCTCTTAAGGATGACTTTTGTATCAAGCTTCACCTCTGCTTCTGTTTCCTGCATCCCCATATTGAACTGCACTCCAAGTATTCAGTTTTTGTCCTACTCAACTTGAAACCTTTACACTCCAGGGTTTGTGTTTGCCTCCACAGCTCCAGTCGATCGTTAACCCTGCAGCGTGTCTCACCGATCAGCACAATGTCATTTGCAAATTTCATACACTATGGCACCTCCCCCTAAATGTGGCGAGCCAGCACGTCCATCGCTAGGGAAAGTAAAAATAGGCTAAGAGCTGAACCCTGATGTAAACCCATCAACACAAGAAAATAGTCTGGGTCTCCTCCTATAGTCCTCACCCGAGTCTTCGCTCTATCGTACATATTCTTAATCATCCTAATGAACGCCACCAGAACCCCACTAACCTCTAGACATCTCCATAAAACCTCCATTGGGACTTTATCTTAAGCTTTTTCTAAATCGATGAACACCATATGCAGGTCCATCTTCCTCTCCCGATATTGCTCCACCAACCTCCTTACAAGATGAATGGCTTATGTGATCGAACGAACCAGCATGAAACCAAACTGATTCTCTGAGGTAGACACACTCCTCTTCAGCCTCCTCTCCACTACTCTCTCCCACACTTTCATAGTGTGACTTAGTAGCTTGATACCCTTGTAGTTGTTACAATTTTGGATATCACCCTTGTTCTTGTACAACGAGACCATCAAACTCCACCTCCATTCCTTGGGCATCTTCTTAGTCCTAAAAATGACATTAAACAGTCCAATAAGCCACTCCAAGCCTACCCGTCCCACGATCTTCCAAAATTCTACCGGGATTTCATCTGGCTCAGTCGCCCTACCTCTACTTATCTTCCGTATTACCTCCTCAACCTTAATACGCCTACAAAATTTAAAATTCACGTCGGTTCTCCGAGTTCTCCAACTAGCCAAGAACAATGTTCATGTCCCCATCCTTGTTCAAGAATTTGTTGAATTATGACTGTCACTTGCGCCTAATGTACGCCTCTTCCACCAATACCTTGCCATCCTTGTCTTTGATGCACCTCACTTGGTCTAGGTCCCGTGCCTTCCTCTCTAGAACCTTGGCTAACCTGAACAATCTTTTGTCATCGCCTCTGCCCCAAGTTCCGCATACAAGCGTTCAAATGTTGCGGTCTTAGACATCGTAACCGCTAGCTTCGCCTCTTTCTTAGCCTTCTTATACACTCCCTAAGTGTCCTCCTCTCCTCCTCGTCGGCGTTCTCCACTAACTTTATATACACCATTTTCTTAGCTTCTACTTTACCTTGTACCTCTCTATTCCACCACAAGTCACCTTTGTGACTCCTGGAGAAACCTTTCGTGACCCCTAACACGGGTCTAGCAGCTTCCCTAATGCAGTTCGCTGTCGAGGTCCACATACTACTCGCATCCCCACAACTCCTCCAAGCCCCCATATCTAACAACTTCTCCCCTAGAGTCTAAGCTTTATCCTCTGTCAAGGCTCCCCACTTAATCTTAGGTTGACCAAACACCACTCTCTTCTTCTTCTCCCTCTTAATCTCCAAGTCCATAACCAAGAGCCTATGTTGGGTCAAAAGCCACTCACTCGGAATAACCTTGCAATCAGTGCAAAGGCCTCTATCCCTCTTCCTGCAAAGTAAGTAATCAATGTGAGTCTTGACCACCGCACTTTGGAAGGTGACCAAGTGGTCCTCCCTTTTATGAAAATACGAGTTAGCTAACGCCAAATCGAGGGCTCTAGAAAAATCCAGCAATGAAGTATCACCATCATTCTTAACCCCAAAACCGAACCCGCCATGCACATCATCATAGTCCCTAACCGTCTCCCTAATATGGCCATTAAAATCACCCCCTATGAAAATCTTGTCGGTGTGCATAATACCGCGCACCAGCTCATCTAAATCCTCCCAGAATTGCCTCTTGACCTCCTCTCCCAAGCCCGCTTGTGGTGCGTATGCACTAACCATGCTTAAAGTGAGCCCACCAACCACTAGCTTAATAGACATCAATCTATCGTTCACCCTCTTGACATCGACCACTAGCTCCCTGAGATTCCTGTATACTAAGATTCCTACCCCGTTCTTGCCCCTAGTACCCCAGCGCCCCCTGAGTACCATCGTTTATAGCCGTTAACCTCACGTACCCTAGTGCCCACCCATCTAGTTTCCTGAACACACACTATATTGATCCTCCTCTTCTGAAGAATCTTCCGTAGTTCTATAGATTTCCCTGTCAACGTCCCTAAATTTCAGGATCCAACTCGCAGCCTTTCGGAGCCCTTAACCCCCTTACTACCCTTGCCCCCGCCCCCTACCCCATCCGAAGACATGACCTCACTCTGCCATCACTCACACCTGCCACTCTAATCTAACGGATGTTACGCTAGCACCACTACAACCCGCGACAAGATAAACTACGCAAGAAATAAAGTCTACTATACAAGACCTTAGTCACAGAGTTTTAGTGAAATGAACATAATTACAAAATGGTTCACATCTTTGAAACCTCTAGAAGATATTGACCACGGCCTTTGTACTAATCAAAAGATAAAAAAAAAAAAATTACTAATATATTCTAGTCTCAAAAGTTTAAAAGAGTTAATTTGAGTTTACTCTTAGCTTTAAATTAACTTTAGTTTCTTGCTTAGTAATCTACTAAACCGCCAACAAGTATTGCAGCAACTGGATTTGCGGACCAAAGTGCAAATCCACAGATTGGAAACGGAAATTTGGTAGTCCAAATTCGACTTAGCTGAAATACTCTGCATAAAGAAGTTATTGTTAGTAAATTGTATTTGTAAAATAATTCTGGAGAAAATAAAATAACATAAACAGAAATAACAAAACAAAAGTTAATTCGAGCCCACTGAATTTAAAGTATTTTTTTGAGGAATTTAATCCCCTCATAGTACCCAAGATTATGGATTATTTCCTCCCAGGATAGAACGAATTACACACTGGTGTAGTGGTACTTCAAACCCCAGTGTTTCAGCGAACACAAAGTTCGGTAGCAAATCACACTTACTGTTGCTTTTTTTTTTATTATGTTAAAACAATGCAGAAGAAGGAGGAGAAACTCAGAAAATCGTATGGAAATTCTGAGAGAATGGACTTGTATTTATAGCCAATGTTGGGCTGGAAACTGAAGATGTGCAACTCTTCAGAATGACTGTTTATGCAAAACGGCCATAATATAAATGTCATAACATAAATGGCTATTTACACAACAATAAACCGGGAGAATTGAAGAGGGAGGTTAATTTTCAATTACAAAACTGAAAAACGGAAAACTAAAAACGGAATTGGATTTAATATTAATATTGTCGAATTTAATATTAATATTATGTTATTAAAACGGATATTTAATAATATTTCTGTTAATATTTACTATTAACAAATAAATTTGGTCCAAAAAATTAATCAATTGACCGAAGCCGAAGCCGAGTGAGTGGCGACGACGACGCAAGACTTGCCTTCTTCTCAACTCTTTAAGAGCTACAAGAAGAGCAATTGCTTATATACCCATTAAAAACCTCTTCCTATTCCAATATGGGACAATGTCCCTTCATCAAGGAGAGAATCCCAAATGAAACTCAAATATTTTATTTTCCCTCCATTTCTCATTCACCCTCGTTTAAGCTATATTAAGCTTAATAACCCAACAGTTTTGCAATGAAATATTTTATTTCGTATCAAAATATACCAATGAAGATTCATTTTGAGTCAACTTTGCAAATAAAAGAGAACAAAACAAAATATCATTTTGATACACATTGGTGCATTGAAGAATTCATGTGCCGTACCATTGCTTTTGAATAATCAAAAGAGTCGTGAGAGAGAACAATATACTACATTCTTTTCCGTTTCCATATTGTATTTGTTAGGATTTTTTCTTGATTTTTTTTTTCAAATCTGATTTTCCTTTTCTCGGAGGAACGGCTAAGACAAAGGGGTAAAAATTGTGTGGGGTAGCCACTTTTTAAAGTGGTATTTATTTTTTATCCAGTATGTTTAATGCTTAACAATAATAGCCACTAGTCTATTAAAATTAATATGAAAAGACAGTGTTACCCTTTCAAAGTTTTTATGATCAGCGGAATTTTTCTTACTTCTGGGCTTGCTATCGTCTTCATTGTCATGGTTGTGATTCGCGTAAGATAAATTTGGCCTCCAAATGAGATTCCTCCGAAGAAAACGTTGCTACTGTTTTACTTTCTCAAGAAGCTATTATGCTTCTGCCATATCTCTTGTGGCAGAATCGGTGTGCTGATTATTTTTCTTTCTAGTGAGTCTAATGTAATAGGGTTTATTTGCTCTTAGCTCCTTGAATTTATTTTTAGATCTAAAAGTTGTGAAAAATAAGAAAAAGAGTGATGAGTAAACAGGAAATGCAATTCCTTCCGAGAAGTTAAGGACATGTAGTCCTGAAGTCCTAAAGTTAAATTCAAAAGTTAAGGACATAGTCCTGAACTTAGAGTTTCAAGTTCAAAAGTTAAGGAAATGTAGTCTTGAAGTCATAAAGTTAAGTTCAATAGTTAAGGACGCAAGTTCAAAAGTTAAGGACAGGCAGTCCTTAACTTACAGTTACAAGTTTTAAAGTTAAGGACATGCAGTCCTTAACTTATAGTTACAAGTTCAAAAGTTAAGGACAAACATTCCTTAACTTACAGTTACAAGTTCAAAAGTTAAGAACATACAGTCCTTAACTTACAGTTACACGTTCAAAAGTTAAGAACAAGCAGTTCTTAACTTACAGTAACAAGTTCAAAAGTTAAGGATAATAGGTCCTTAACTTTGACTTACAAGTTCAAAAGTTAAGGACGCTTGGTCTTGAAGTTTGAGTTCCAAGTTCAAAAGTTAAGGACATGTAGCCTTGAAGTCCTGAACTTAGAGTTCCAAGTTCAAAAGTTAAGGACATGTAGTCTTGAACTTAGAGTTACAGGTTCAAAAGTTAAGGACATGTAGTCCTGAAGTCCTGAACTTAGAGTTCCATGTTCAAAAGTTAAGGACGTGTAGTCCTGAAGTCCTGAAGTTAAGTACAAAAGTTAAGGACATGAACATAAGAGTATTTTCGTTCGGGTCGTTAAAGTTTATTAAAGCAGTGGCTAAAAACTAAAGATATTTTAAATGCTTAAAAGTAAATACATGTGTTATTAGTGGTCAATTGTGCACTTCCCCCGACAAAGGGTGCGTTTGGTATGACGAAAAATATTTTTTCATTTTCTACTATTTGGTTACACAAAATAGTTTGAAAAATATTTTCCTAGATATCATATTTTTCTCAAATTAGAGGAAAATGGCTTCCCTAGAAAAAGTTAGGAAAATATTTTCCAAAAACTCCACCTACCCTCACATGTAACCCCAACCCCCTCCCCTTTCTCTCCCCTACCCTACCTCTCCTACCCCATCTTTCCAAAAAGGTTTTATTTTAGTTTTTTTTTCTTTTCCGTTACCACCCACCCTGCTAACCCTCCCAACCCCGTCACCCACCCTTCCACGCAAAAAAAAAATATTTTTTTTACTTTTTTTTTGTATTTTCAATTTTTTATTTTTNAATATATTTTCAGTTCTGGTTTTTTATTTTACAGTTTACAGGTTCGAAATTTTACGAGTTCCAAAGTTATGAGTTCGGAGGTTTATGTGTTTGGAAGTTTGAGGTTGTAGAAATTATAGAGTTTACGGGTTCGAAAGTTTGCGAATTCGAAAGTTTGCGAATTCGAAAGTTTATGAAATTTGTGAGTTTGGAAGATTATTGGTTCGAAAGTTTATGGCTTCATATTTATTATATGTAAATTATTTATGAATACTTTTGAGAAGTTTTTTTTTTTAATTTGTATATCAAACACCGAAAAATAAGTAAGATTATTACTTGTTTTCCAAGAATATTTTCTTGGAAAACATTTTCCGTTATACCAAACACACCCATAATTGATTTATTTTTCCTAAAAGGGACCTATAGATCTCTTTAGATTTCTTTTTTGGAGAAGAAGTTTTGCACTTCTATAAATTCATGATCTCTCCTTCACACAACAACACAATAACATTTATAATGTAATAACTCAAAGAGTCTAGTTTAGGAGATGATTATTCTCTCGATAAGTTTTTTTTCTTTAATATTAATAGATTTATGTAGGTCACTTGATCAAACTATATTAAAGTATATTATGTTTTTTAGTTAGTATAATTCTCTTTGATGCCCGATTTACCATTTTCAAGGTTTGCGTTGTTAGATTCCGCATGTCACCTTATTATTTTAAATATTTCTATAGTTATAAAGTAGATAGTCTTTCTTCTTCGTTTTGATATATAATTTTTTTGTATTTTCTCCCTTTTTCTATAAACTTCAGTGTTGTCTAAGTGAAAATCACTATTAATAACCCTGTTTTACCAATGGAATTAACGAGGGACGTCTCTCGGTAACAAGGCGTTACTGATAGAAGACCGTCGATACATGGTATGTATTTAAATTGTTCCTCGGTAAAAGCGACCGATAGAGTCTCTTCGTAAATATCGATGGACCACATCGCAAAGCCATCATTAGATATATGACACAATCCGCTCAGAAAATTATATATACCGACAAATATCTCTCAATATATTATTAATAATATTTGTTGGACCGGAGTTAGATAATAATGTCGGGAGCTCTCCAATGGTCAAGTAAATATATTTAAAATAATAATTTAATATTACTAATGGACTCTCTCGGATAATTTAAATATTTCAAAAATGAATTATTTCATATTATAAATGTTAATACACTGACGAAGGCCATCAATATTGTAAAAGTAAAATTCAAAATAATTATAAATGCAATAGCAATAGAGTCCGCGATACATCTTATAAATGTTAGAACATGCGCGGAAGCAAGCATATAATTCAAGTATCACAAACATGTAAACTAGACAATGATTCAATGCGGAGATTAAAAGCATTAACCTCTTGAAAACTTTGCATATGTTCTCAACAAAGCAAGAATCTAGGGCTGCAGTCTTCTACTATGCTCCTTGTAAGACCTTGAATGAAGTTATTTGAGTGGGCAAAGCAATACAACTCTGAAGAGTGAGTTATTAGGTGAAAAATGTCTTCCTTATGTAGACGTAAAATTAAGCCAAAAG